AGCGACTTATATCCCTACCCCTACCCTAGAGCTAAGCCATGCGTGAGCAGACCCCGTCATATACCTGATATACCCCCCCTGACCAATATCGTAGTTGTGTGTATGTGTGTAGCCCAGAGGCTATGTATGTTTGTATGAGCCCATAGGCCCATGTGCTTGTGTATCTGCCCGAAGGCTATGTGTGCTCTGTCTAACTGTATAGTGAGATGTATGTGCCCGAAGGCCAGATATGTGCAGTACTATGTACAGGGAACTCTGTGTTCATTTGAAGAGATGACAGGCCAAGCTGGACAAGAACCCCCCCCAAACTCCCAAGTCAGACTCGAACCCATGACTGGGGAGATCTTCAGAACAACCACGAGCAACAGCCACAAGCAACCCACGCAGTATCAAGACCCGACATACAACACCATGGACAACCCTTGGGTGGTGCACAGGCAGTGTCTGCATAAGCTTACCATGCGTCAGCCCAAGGGAATGTGTGTCCAACTGTTCGTCATTCTAACACCCTGTCGGTGTCCATGCGCAAGGCTGCAATTGAGTTTTGAACCCGCAACCTCATACCACAATGCGCATTTCCAACCGGTGCTCTAACCACTGAGCTACATCAACTGGACTCTTTTTTTTCTTTCCTGAGGAAACAGAATCTCGGTTGTTTATCAGGGGCTCCCCGTCGATCAGCTGCTGGTAAGGTATGGGACGCGAGTGGCATTCAGGAGGTCTCGGGCTCAATCCCCATTCGGCTCATGTACCTTCCTGCTCAAGCTTGGCGGCTGCCACCGAGAGAGAGCCCCTTGGTCCCCCCGAGTGGCATTGAGCAGTGACTGCTAATGTTTGTAGGGGGAGGAGACTGGAGGGGAGGCACAGCGACTGACCCATCAAAGAAGCTCGGTCCTGATCCTACCGGCTGACCCCTGGCCGGTATCGCCCACCTGCAAGTAGAGTGCAACCCGCACATGTTCCGTCGTTGGAGGCTTGAACACGGGCTGACTGCTACGGGGTTCCCACAGTAATGCTACAATGCAAAATAAAAAAGACCGAAAAGGCCGCTGTCCTCTCCAGAGTCCAGATTAAAAAAAAGACTCCCGTCAGAGGTGGGGAGCACTTGAATGCCTTCGGCGTCTTTCTTTTTTTTTTTTTCACTTCTTTTCTTTTTCGTGCGTGAAAACGACGACCTTCTTTGTATTCCCTCTGCTGGGGCCTGGTCCCACTAGCAGCTGTTTAGTTTAGAAATGTAATACAGTGGGACACGAGTGACACACTTTGGCCATTGGATGTAACAGTATCGGACGCCCAGTCATGGTCATGGGCGTTTTAGAAGAATGCACTCTTAACATTGGCAATGCCCACACAATCGTTTTCCCACCCAACGGCCCGCAGTCTTTGATTCTAGCTCGGTGAGCACCGAGCTAGAAACAAGGACTGCCTCCTGTTTGTGAAGAAAGCTGTGGTTGGTCTGTCAGTCGTCAGATTCAACTGYCAGGTCTCTCTTTACTTTTTCTCTCACAATGCAAATTTGATATAGCACATCTTTGTCAGGCAGCCCACTAATCTAACGGCTGCACAAATTTTAGCTTTTCTTTTCTTTGCTGTCCTGGCTGTCACACAACTCCAAAACTAAACGAAACCTCCCTCTAGTGGGACCAGGCCCCTGGTCAGAGGTCCAGCAGAAGGGTTTCAGAGAGGACGGTACCGGAACTGCCCTCTTTTTCCCTTGTGCTGGTACCTTTCACTTGCAGGCTCGGCAAAAATTGGCGCGCAGGGCATTTTTAGACTCGGCATCAATAGCTGAGAAAGGTACTGGTGGTTTAAACAACCAGTACCTCGCCCAGCTATCGAGTCCAAGCCTCCCGCTACCGGTAAGCCGAGCCTTGCTGAGCCTAGAGCTACGGGTAGCAGGTTTTTCTTCATTTTTCGA